TTAAAGTAAAAGTCACTTTTCTCAAAGTTTTACGTGACACGGAATACATATTCACATAACAAACGTCAGCTGTTCTGTCAATCAGATGTCATTGTCAAATGCGAATTTGGGGTAGTGAAATCAACAAACTTGGCAAAAAATAATAAACAGGCTTAAAATCAAAGCATCTTAAAAATATCGACAATATTTAAAAACAATGATACATTGTTAGTATATTAAAAGTTTAAAAATGGCAGCAGCCTTTCAGCAGCAGATATTTGCACTCGATGCACGATTTAATGCGTACAGAGCGCCGGGGAATCCAAATTTTAGTAAGCTCATTTCTTCTTTCGTTTTTATACAAACAAAGTTTTAATAATTAAACCGATTCCTTATTTATCTAAAAATAATAATTTAATATTTCAGAAACACTGTATATTCGACGACGCAGTCAACTTTTAAGAGAAAATGCGAAATTTAAGGTAACAAAACATTTGAATATTATTTATCTTCATTAGGTACTTGTATTTTCCAGATCAATAAAATGGAAAGTGTAGCTAGCTAGCTATAGCTTAAAATTGTAATTGTTTTGGATTTGCGTGCGACTTAATTAAACATTGTTGGTTTTCACTTTAGGACATAGAAACTATAAAGAAATACATTAACATCAGAAGTCAGTTGCTGCAGAAGAGATATGGAGTTCAAGATAACATTTCAATCAGCTCTTCATCTTCCCGAGCCAGGTCTAGCAGTAAGGTACCAAGTTATAATGTTAGTACAAAACATGTCCTAGTTCTCTGGGTTACTTATAATTTGGTATCACAATGTGATTTTAGGCAAGCTTAGCAGTTGATGAATTATCTGGCAGTTCAAAGAAGAAAAATGACCTAACAATATCAGAAAACTACGCTTTTACTGGAGTTCATCATATTTTTGATCAGGTTAGTATTATAATATTCAAACTTTATGGCAGATAGTGATTAAGCTGCCATTAAGTGTGAATAGCACTGTAAACACTGCAAGCACTGTTTTGATATGTGTAAGACAATTTTTTGAGAACATATGAAGTAACTATATTAATGTTTTAGCATAGTGATGAGGTGAGTGTAGTTAAATTCGCAAACAACGACCGCTCGAAGCTGTGCTGTGCATCGCGCGACGGCACTGTGTCTATCTGCGATGTGACGGCGACCCCGCCACGTGTCTCTGTTATACTGGAGGGACACACCGATGCTGTCACTGGTAAGTAATAATATTTGACAAAAGATTAAATATGTTAAAAAGTTGACCATGTCCTATGTTAATGAGCTTAAAGTCTAGAAATTAATGTTTGACATGTATTTGTTGCATGCTACATTGTTGAACCAATTTTATAAAGTGTATTGTTCTGTTCATATTTTGCATGTGAATATCAATGTAGTAAATTCTATGTCTTACATTTTACTTGTTTGACCACAGATTTCTTCCCATAGAAAGGCTATAAGCCGTGGTATTTTGTGCCTATTTGATTTTCACCATTTTCGGAAGATTCGGTATACAAGACGTGCATTTGTGTGTCAGACTGCGACTGGTCTGCGTCTAACGAGCTGGTAGTGACGTGTGGACTGGACGGCGCACTTTGTGTGTGGGACGTGGCGCGACGCCGGCGGTTGCGCGAGGCTCGCGACCAGCTTTC